GTTGGGTTGGCCACCACCTCCGCCGTTGTTCGCCGGTTGTTGGGAGCTGTTGTTCTGCTCTTCCGAGCCATTGTGAGAGTTACCCCTTGAGTTACCATGATCTGGAACAGATTTCCCGCCTGGAACTGAAGAAAGAAATGTACAGGAAGAAGCAGGAAAGCTGCTGACTGGAGAACTAGAACAAGCAACAGAAATGACGAACGGAGATGGTACACGATGTCCAACACTAAATACTGGTCCACTGTAATTGGTTTTTACCCGGCTTGCGCGGTGAGAAGAAACTTGATCAGCCGTGCTATCAGTATGAGTATCGAAAAAGGCACGTTCACGTTCGTTCTTGCGGCTAGGTACTGTGCTCGGAGTTTCAGACTTATACTCAAAACGGTAACGCCTGTAAGATAGCACGAACCAAAATTGGCGCGGATACGCGGCAAGCTCTAGTGGTCGACACTTCAGCAGTTGCTCGAGAATAGCGGTAAAAATGTGACAGTACATGTTGGTAAGATCGGTGTTAAGGCAAGTGATGTGAAGAAAATATGAGTTGTTCGGGTCGTGAAGTAAATCAAACTGCTCAAGAAAATTGTTGCCTATGTAGAAAAGTAAATAGTCGACAAGAAGTGGCAGAAAGTGACTCCACAAAAAGCTCCGGGACTCGAGTATCAGCAAAATGAATGATCTAGTCTGTTCGAAAATGTGAGTTCTAAAAGTCTGGAGCTGGCCAGATAGGCCCGAAAGAGAGCGCGAAGAAGTCCATTTACGTAGTGCTCGACCAAGTAGCAAGATACCAAGCATCGTCAGGTACATCGAAGTTGACACGAATAGGGCAAAACACGCGAAATCAAACATAAAAATACACACAAAAATGTGCCCCTCGTGTAGCATGGTAATGGCTTGAGTTAATTGTCCGAATGTTCTAGATCTATGCCAGTGAAAGAGCTTATCAACATCAGTGATAAGGGCCATAGATAAGCTGGCTAATTGTTTAGCTAGTAGGGTTGTATTCCGTTCGAATTAGTTAGTTCACTGTCGTGGAAATGTTTTGTGCTCTTCCTTCGATTGCATGTGCCATGAAAATTGTATGGGTCCATGTTACAAGGGCCTGGTGGCACTAAACTGAGTAAGTCGGAAGATTTAAACATATGTTCGAAATCATTTTCGTTGAGTTCTAATTGTTTGATGTAAAGTTTGATTTGTGAGTTAACCGTTAACGTCCGATGTGTGAGGAAGCTCGAGGGAAGAAATTCCGAGTAAAATCGTTGAGATTCCGATGTGTCGCCCCTGGTAGACAGTGCTACCAGGGCAAGAGTAAGTAGGGTAAGTAGCGACGTTGTTAGCTGATAAGAGAAAGCGATAAAACGACTCAAATTCAACTTGCACATATATATAATCAAAGAAGAACGTATTTGCTTCTCTTCCCATTCCACCTGTTGTTGATAGGACAATTGGTGTAAATGTTCCATGTTCCACCTCGACAATCCTTTTGTTGTACATTTTTTTCTTCTGTCTCTCATGGCTAATGTACATACTCATTGGAGATCCAAGAGCCTTATTGGAAGGAGCTTGAGCATGAAATACTCTTACATCTAAAAATGCCCTTTCCAATGGGTTCCATACACTCCTAGCACTAACATCTAACCTAGCTCCATCTGCTTTGTTGGTCCCTGCAGGAAGTTCTCTCCCTGCAGGGGGTCTAAACTGCTTTTTGTTGTGATGTGAATTTGTTACATATTATTGCAAAGGGTTTTTTTTTACCTCAGTTTTAAAATGTGTACCATTTTTAAAGAATTTTTATATAGGGTCATTGATATATTATTTAACGGGTGATACTCGTAAAATATTTGTTCCACGAGTCCAACTCGGCGCGCGTCCTGGTAGGTTATAAACCTACAATATATTATGTGTATATTGTTTGAATAATTTCTTTAGTTAAAAAAAATTAGTATGTAGCATGGCAGGTGATAATTTGGACAGTTGATTAACTTCTTGACCCAACATGGAAATATTTGAGACACATGCACTTGACAGGTTATTTAAAAGGTTTAGTTAAGGACACTGGGAGTTTGGGTCATGTGGACATTTTTAGTGTCTATATTCTCTTGATTATTCTGTGCTGCGAAATTTTCTTTTCCTCCCTGAAACATAGAATATGCATAATAATAATAATAATAAATTAATGTTATTTTTATACAGCACCAAAAGGTTAAATAATTTAAATTTAACCCTTATGCTCAGCTGTAAATGATACCTAAATGACAGTAGAGATCGTGCATCTCGCCTTGGACAGGAGTAAAAACGGAAGTTTAAAGCTGCAAGTAAAATCCTGACTAAATAAGGCAGATACACCTAACAAGAAGATATCCAAAAAAGGTTAGCAGGTTTTCTAACAAAACATAGATGATGACCACAAGAAATCTATGTATGAGACTCATCAGACTAACAAAATGATATACAAGATAATAAGGATGAAAAATCATAAAATATTAAAAATTCTTTAAGAATTATATATAGAACTCCAAATATACAAACAATCTGAAAACTTCAATATACAATACAAAATACATGTTGAATGTTCTACTGCATTATACTTACAATACTGAATACAGTAATTATAATAAGATTAAACATGGAGACTGCATCAGTAATAGGTAAATGGCCTAGTAACAATCTAGCTCTAGTAAAAAGTTCTAGTAACAATCTCACTTCGTGTAATGCGCATTCTCCCAGCACCCAGACTCACTAACGTCTCCTTCATCCAGTTGCATTGATGTACTTTTTACTAACTAAGTGATTTAAGATTTATTTTATCCTCCAGTGGCGTAATAAACGGCCCTGCTGACCCCGCTGTGGGGGGGGGGGGGGGTGGTGCCGTCTTAGTGGGGCGCCAAATCGTCGTTTGAATGTGGGACAAGTAAAATACAATTTTAATTTTTCTAAAATCACCTAATTTGTTCAATTTCAGGGAGGGGCACCAAAAGGGGAGGGGGCACCAACAGGGGGGGGGGGGGGGTGAGCGCTTTTTCAGCGGGGGGCGCCAACAGGCAACGTTACGCCACCACTATCATCTAATACAATTTTTATTTTGGATTATTGCATTTGAGCTAATCTAAAACCAAACAGTGCTGATGTCTGTACTAGCACATTAAAGAAAAGAGAACAACCACCAACCTTGTCACAAGCGGGAGCTGAAAACGAATCACCGATCAGACTGATCAATCTTTGTCCATCTTGACATTAGTGGCATCATACCCATCAAGCAATGATATTGTTTTAAAATACAAATTACTTCAGCAATTGTAGCACTCCAGAAGGCATCTGCTATGCTACCCTTTACTGTTATCCCGTTCGTTAGAAGTAAAGATATCCAAGATTCTATTGTAGATAATTCTTGCAATCCTTCAAACTCTGACAGTTATCGTGCTAGGTATCCTGAAGCATATCCTGGCAGCAGTTCAGCTGAATTTTATAGTTTAGTCATCAGTGAATCTTCTTCTGGATCATCACATACACCTGCCAGATTACAGAAAAATAAAAGACGTAAAGAAATTACCCCAAGTTCTTACAAGAATTTGTATAACAAAGTTTGTAATGATGATATTGTGTCAGTAAAAGATTGGTTTACTCTGTATTTCCCTGAAAAACTCAGAAATGATCATGTTGGTTCATTACAGACTGCTGTGAAGAGTCTGTGTGATGAATCAGGCTGCAATATAGCCATGACAGCTGCCGTTCATAAGAGCTATGAATCTTTTAAATTTTTATTGAATTTTTTCCCATCGCTAATGGACGGAAAAGACAACTTTGGGAACACATTCAGTGATGTTGTATGGAATGTAAAAGATGAAAATCTAAATAGAATTTTGATGAAGTACAGCATGAAATTAAGAACAACTGCTGTTAAGTTGGAAAGCGCTAAACGGAAATCTGAAGAATATTGCAAGCAGTGCAATCTGCTTCACTGTGATCCAAATCATGATTCATCAATTTCTCACCTTCATGCAGAGAATCGTGATGTTCCTGAGATTAATCCCCACTTGGATCCAAATAATGCTGGCTATAAAATGATGTCCAAGTTTGGGTGGTCCGAAAACAAGGGTTTAGGTAAGCTTGTTTAGAAGTTAAAACCTACAAAGTACAAACCTACATATAGGTAGATATAGATTATAGTTATAGATATATTGTCACGGTCAGATGATGTATTGAACTTCAAAATCATCACGTTTATAGAAAGCTGTATTTTCATGGGAATTGGGCATGACAGAAAATTGTTTGTATAAATTGCACGTAATCCTCATTGTTTATCCAGGCAAAAAAAACTTTTCCATCTAAAACATTTTAATGATATTTACAGGGCCATCAGAAGCTGGACGAAAATACCTCATAAAAACACAACTAAAAACTGACAGAAGAGGACTTGGAATTCCTGAGAAGAACAAACCAAAAGTATCCCACTTCGAACCCCATGATGTAAACAGTTTGAAAGACAACCTGTTACACAAACGAAAGATCAAACTCACGACAGAAAGTAAGCGAAAGAGAAAAAAGGATCAGGAAAAATCAAGGCGGTGGGAAATAGATTTAAGACGATCGATGAACGAATATGAGTAAATTCTGTGTTTCAACTACATACATTAAAGCATACCCTCTGACTTGGAAAGTATCATCCATAAAATGAATGAGCCGAACTGTGATCTATATAATTGTATTTACATTGATAATCGATGTTATTGTTTGCTAGTATATGATTATAATGTTTACATTTTAAGGTACAGTCGGAATAAAGTTTGTAATTTTATTGAAATATTATTACTATTAATATCAGTATAGATTGTCAATCACTGCTTACTCTTGTCCTAAACATTTTAAGCAACTAAATAATTCGTGAAGTCTCATTTTAAGAGCATGGCTTTTGCTCTCAATCTTCATTTCATCAGTGCACAATCAAAGCTTTTGAAAGAGAATTTATTAGACAATTTATTGGATACACAATAAATATCTTGAAGGAAATGGAAGAGAAAGTAAGATCGAACAGTGAAGGTGGTGAAAGTAGTGCTCAGCAGGATAATGACAACGGGGAGCAATCTGATTACGGTTAGAAAATCAATTTTTTACATTATCATGATTTTTGAATCCGATCTAACCAGTCGTTCAATAAATAAAATAAAAATGGGTAAATTCACTATTCATTTTATTTCTTATTTATTTTTATCAGGATATTTTATGATAATATATTAATGATTTCATTTTTGATAGATCTACTCCAAATTGTTTGATACCATGATAATACAAACAATTTCAGAAGATGCAGCAGAGAACTTAGAAGAAGAGGAACAGATGGAAATGGACGAAGATAACGACTCACTAGAACAAGAACGTGAGATTGAACGCGTAGCAGCAGAGTATGCAGAACAAGAACGTGAGATTGAACGCGTAGCAGAAGAGTATGCAGAACAAGAACGTGAGATTGAACGAATGGCAGAAGCTGAAGCTGCTGAGGAAGCATGGATCGAGAGACAGGTAGATGCTGCAGCAGAACAGGTAGATGCTGCAGCAGAACAGGTAGATGCTGCAGCAGAACGCACCCAGCAGCAGGTAGATGCTGCAGCAGAACGCACCCAGCAGAGGATCGCCAATGCTGAGCAAGCTCAGGAGCTGGATCGTGTGGATTACGATATTGCTATACCTTCCCAGCATTCCTACCTTGGTCAGATACATTGTTATTTACATACGCTTACATACGTTTACATGGATACGTTTGCATGTATTTACATAGTTTCTGATTGTAGTGCGTGATGTAACTATCATTACTTTCCTTCAATTTAGGAACTATCAATTCATGTACGGACCTTGCTACATCTCGCAAAAGTAAAAAATGTGATATTACGAATTATTATAAAGGTTACCTAACAACTTAATTATAAATAGGCTAACTTCAGATATGGCTTTGACACGAGTTGAAGGTTACAACTATTGGTTGGAAGGCCATCACGTGAACTTGTACATAATACCACTTGACGTTATTGTAATACCAGGTTAGCAGGTTTTCAGGCTGATTCGTCATGATTACTAGATAAATTTGTAAAATCGGGGTTCTTTTGATTCAGTTTTATTTTATTTCTATCGCTAGAAAAAGTGAATTTGGTATGCTAGATTAATTAATTAAGTTATTTCCATAACAAAACTAACTAAAGTACTCTTTGTCAGGACAAAGTCTTCCTCTCAGAATAAGACAAAGTACCCTGCAGTTTGCCATGGTCCGAGCTCTTCTTGACACCAATCAGAAGACATTTGGCGCTGTTTACCTTCCCGCAGAACGGTCAGTTAAATAACTATTTAATTAAATAAATCTAATTAAATAACAGTTAAATAACTATTTTGTCTTGTTTTTTTTACTTCCTTTATAAAAACATAGATCTCATTGCTGTTCTGTTGTTAGCATAGAATCTGTTTGTTGATAGTCAACAGCCAGCTTGCACTTATTAATAATTAATAATACCTTAAATTCTAACTTCATAAGCTGATGCGTATAATGTAACACAATAAAAGATGAATGTCAATGTTATAATGTTACTTACATTTGTCAATATACCAATATCATTAATATTATTTAATTATCTAGGGAGACTTTGGTGCTCGATCGCAGTTGGTCACAAATCGGTGTAACAGTTCAAATTGTGGAGGTTTCAGATGAGACACCCAATGAAATTGTGCTCAAGTGCAAAGGTAATCCAGTTAATCCCGAATTTCCTTGAACTAATATTAACGGCGATTTTTTACATCCCTAAGATATGTGAATTTGCATGTTTTTCGTTTTGGGTTATTATGTAGTACTGTCCAGTAATAAGCAATATTCCAGCGATATGTACGGGTATATGACCCCCAGAATATAGGTGGCCCCCAAAATATAGGTCATGTTAGTGGATACAGTTCTAACCAAGATAAGCGATACTAATGGGATCTGTTACTGCTACGTTGGAGTAAAGCATGTAACTAATGTTTCTGGATAAGAATTTTTGACCTACATGAGGTATTTTGGTATATTTGGTCATGACAGCGAAAGATTTAAACGATGTTGTCATTTTCTAGAGGGGTAAATATGGCGAGAAATGGTCATGACAAAAATCTGTCCAACACATGCCATTAAGACTACTGGTATGAGTATGAGTATTATTTTAAGCTATCTTTTCATCGAGACATCTGCAAACTGACAATTTGGAAAAAAGTTATGGCCACCACAATTTTACGGGCCCCCAGAATATAGGTCTATACGACCCCCAGAATATAGGTTGGTCAAAAACCCTGAACATGCCCAAAACCATGCTTTGGGATGCTCTACTTGTAGCTACTAGTCTCCTGAACACACATATTAAGTTTTATCAAAATTGGATAAAAATTGGCCGAGTTATGGGATAAAAACCATATGCCCATATTTGGGCATACGCACCAAATTTGATCGATTTTGGTCCATAAATTGGTCAAATATCAATATTTTTGAATAAAACCAACTTTATATGGAAGGTAAGCCTATACTACACATTCTCTATGATTATCAGCTCAATATCTACCTAACTGTGGATTCTGTGTTCAAATAATCGCAAAAAATGAACAAAATCGCCCATATCTCAGTTCGCGATATTTGCAAAACTGACTTCGCTCAAAACAATAGAACTCAATAGGGCTTCAATGTTTTCACATGAAATTTTCAGAATCAACGTAGAATTGTCTCATGACCTTAAGTTTTGGGACAGAATTTTAAGTTAAGCCTTTAAAAAAATTTGGCGGCCAAAAATGTCTGATTTACAGTCATTGAGGTGCACATTGTATTGATACAGATAAAAACAGCCCCCCTCAATCATATCTAGGGACACTCCTTCAATCTTATTTGAGTATTTAGTTAAGATCCCTACTAAATGAGTGCATGAAAGCTTTTTAACTAGTAAAATTAAATATTTTACTCATTACGGGTATATAAGTATATGGCCCCCAGAATATAGGTTTAAAAAAAAAAACAGCGACCAAGATTCTGCATTTTCTCTGTCACCCTGAACATTGAGGAATGTGGGGTAGTGATGAGAAACAGTTAAAGAACATATGCAGAAGAGATGGCATCATCAAAATGTTATGAAGATGGAGTATTTGAGGACGATTTTTGCATACCTATATTCTGGGGGCCTTAGTTTTTGGTTTTTTGCTATTAAGTATACTCTAAACCATTTCAATTTAGTATCTGGAGCCATTGGCATCATTAATACAGTCTCAGCAACATATTCTGACTGCATATAACTTTCTGTGACAATTTTAGAAAAACTTAGGAACAGATGTTTGGACCTATATTCTGGGGGCCCTGTTAAAAAATGGTATTTTTACAGGTGAAAAAAAAGTACACTTAAAAACCTAATAATTATTTTCAACTACCCAAGAAACATTTAAAGGGTTATTATGTACATATTTACACCTCTAAACATGCTTAGAAGTAGTTTTAACACCTGTTTCTAAGTGCTCAAAAAGCGACCTATATTCTGGGGGTCATATACCCGTAGTTGGAATTTGGATTACCTACATTTACACTCTACATTTACCTACATTTACATTCTTATAACTGGAATTTCATTATTTTATGATACTGATAAGTTGGGTAAAATAAACATGCCATAAAACATTAATCTATACTTAAAACAATAGGTAGACAAAGGTTCAAGACGATTTCCACACAACGGAGGACACCTATCCTCCACGCCAAAGTCAAGATCCTAGCGGACCACATTCCGGACAGATTATACGATCCACTGGGGAAGTTACGTGATTCCTTTAAGTTAAGCTCGCATCCCACATGGCTGTATAAGAGTCACGATGTGTACACCATTGTGGGGGTAATAAAGGAAGAGGTGAGTTTGGGGAGGCACGATGTGTACACCATTGTGGGGGTTATAAAGGAAGAGGTGAGTTTGGGGAGGCACGATGTGTACACCATTGTGGGCGTTATAAAGGAAGAGGTGAGTTTGGGGAGGCACGATGTGTACACCATTGTGGGGGTTATAAAGGAAGAGGTGAGTTTAGGGAGGCACGATGTGTACACCATTGTGGGCGTTATAAAGGAAGAGGTGAGTTTGGGGAGGCACGATGTGTACACCATTGTGGGGGATATAAAGGAAGAGGTGAGTTTGGGGAGGCACGATGTGTACACCATTGTGGGGGTTATAAAGGAAGAGGTGAGTTTGGGGAGGCACGATGTGTACACCATTGTGGGGGTTATAAAGGAAGAGGTGAGTTTGGGGAGGCACGATGTGTACACCATTGTGGGGGTTATAAAGGAAGAGGTGAGTTTGGGGAGGCACGATGTGTACACCATTGTGGGGGTTATAAAGGAAGAGGTGAGTTTGGGAAGGCACGATGTGTACACCATTGTGGGGGTTATAAAGGAAGAGGTGAGTTTGGGGAGGCACGATGTGTACACCATTGTGGGGGTTATAAAGGAAGAGGTGAGTTTGAGGAGGCACGATGTGTACACCATTGTGGGGGTTATAAAGGAAGAGGTGAGTTTGGGGAGGCACGATGTGTACACCATTGTGGGCGTTATAAAGGAAGAGGTGAGTTTGGGGAGGCACGATGTGTACACCATTGTGGGGGTTATAAAGGAAGAGGTGAGTTTGGGGAGGCACGATGTGTACACCATTGTGGGGGTTATAAAGGAAGAGGTGAGTTTGGGGAGGCACGATGTGTACACCATTGTGGGGGTTATAAAGGAAGAGGTGAGTTTGAGGAGGCACGATGTGTACACCATTGTGGGGGTTATAAAGGAAGAGGTGAGTTTGGGGAGGCACGATGTGTACACCATTGTGGGCGTTATAAAGGAAGAGGTGAGTTTGGGGAGGCACGATGTGTACACCATTGTGGGGGTTATAAAGGAAGAGGTGAGTTTGGGGAGGCACGATGTGTACACCATTGTGGGGGTTATAAAGGAAGAGGTGAGTTTGGGGAGGCACGATGTGTACACCATTGTGGGCGTTATAAAGGAAGAGGTGAGTTTGGGAAGGCACGATGTGTACACCATTGTGGGGGTTATAAAGGAAGAGGTGAGTTTGGGGAGGCACGATGTGTACACCATTGTGGGCGTTATAAAGGAAGAGGTGAGTTTGGGGAGGCACGATGTGTACACCATTGTGGGCGTTATAAAGGAAGAGGTGAGTTTGGGGAGGCACGATGTGTACACCATTGTGGGGGTTATAAAGGAAGAGGTGAGTTTGGGGAGGCACGATGTGTACACCATTGTGGGGGTTATAAAGGAAGAGGTGAGTTTGGGGAGGCACGATGTGTACACCATTGTGGGCGTTATAAAGGAAGAGGTGAGTTTGGAGAGGCACGATGTGTACACCATTGTGGGGGTTATAAAGGAAGAGGTGAGTTTGGGGAGGCGCGATGTGTACACCATTGTGGGGGTTATAAAGGAAGAGGTGAGTTTGGGGAGGCACGATGTGTACACCATTGTGGGGGTTATAAAGGAAGAGGTGAGTTTGGGGAGGCACGATGTGTACACCATTGTGGGGGTTATAATGGAAGAGGTGAGTTTGGGGAGGCACGATGTGTACACCATTGTGGGGGTTATAAAGGAAGAGGTAAGTTTGAGGAGGCACGATGTGTACACCATTGTGGGCGTTATAAAGGAAGAGGTGAGTTTGGGGAGGCACGATGTGTACACCATTGTGGGCGTTATAAAGGAAGAGGTGAGTTTGGGGAGGCACGATGTGTACACCATTGTGGGCGTTATAAAGGAAGAGGTGAGTTTGGGGAGGCACGATGTGTACACCATTGTGGGGGTTATAAAGGAAGAGGTGAGTTTGGGGAGGCGATGTTTTCGATTAAATTGTTACAAATTGGCCCCCATTTGTAAAGGTCTGCCCCCATCGCAATATGGCCGTGCCAATCTAATTAAGTTTGCCTGTGTGATTTTGTAATGTGTTACATTTGATGAAATTATTCTTAAAATGGCTTCTTGATGGTTTATTTTACGGTCTATATTGCACCTGTGCACCACTCCAGTAACCACTAACAATTATTATACCACCTGAAACCACCTTACATTATATTACAGCGGTATCCTTTGTCAATCAATACTCTGAGAAACTTAATCCACTATACTTCAATACTCTGAACAAATTAACATCTCATCGTGCATTAATTAAATTAGGGTGTGAAGCTGTGGTAGTGTATTGGATAAGAGCATGAACTAATTGATATAAACGAAACGCCAGATGAGACCCGTTGTTTCATGTTTTATATAATATATAACTGCAGATTTAGGAAGGGGGCAGCGTTACAACTCCTTAGAAAACATCCTCGAGTTTGGGACAAAATATGCAGTTTTGTGCAATTGACGGAGCGCGCGACTGTTTTATTTTGATAATGACAGCGCATAACGTGCGTTCGTTTGTACGTCATGTATTATATATAGTGTGCATGGCTGGCCGGATCATATGATCGATGTATATGACGATGTGCACGATGAATACAATTATCAATAATAAATTCCTTCCTTAGGTCTAATGAAACTGTATTCAGTATTAAATGACTATTTGTCTCACTGTTAACCACTATACTATCAGAAAAGTTAAAGCATTCTCATAGATTTTATAAAATGAGTTGAAAATATTAACGTTACATGATTGATATGTACTAACAGTGGATATTTTGTTCAGATTGCACGCTACAGTCCCTTGATCAAAGTAAACGTTGCCCCGGTTCAGCCTGACATGTTTTCCTACTGGCTCATCAGTGCAATGCCCTTCAAATTCAACCAGAGGTCTGTTGATCAATTAATAGCTGTACTAGTAAATACTTCATTAACTTAAAGTTTATATATACGAGATTACGAGTGTGTCGCGTTTTCTTCCTTGATGAGCAATGATATAAGTTATATATTGATTTAAATTAGTTTTCTCCCAATAGAGCGGAGATGTTACGAGAGAATAACCTGGTAGTGCGTCTGAAGTCCCAGCTGGACCACATCAAGGAACTAAACCAGTTTGACTATTGTTGCCAGCTTTGTGGTAAAGATATTATTAACTCTAGCCGGCTTGTCTCCATGTCAGCAGACGGTTCCTTCTTTGTTAATCCCCAAGGTTAGTCGAATAGTCGGTCTTTATTTCTACCATCTGGTATCCAGATATGATTGGAGGTTATGTTTTTATGCGAAAATTCCTGTTCTAGATCAGTTTAACTTTAGTCGAAATTTTTCGGTGATCAATCGGTTTCGTGTTTTACTGTTGGATTGTTACTGATTTCTCTACTTATTGCAAAAAATTAAACGTTGATTTTGAGAAGTATAATTATTACATGCACGAGAAATATTTCCGATTTGTCCCTCTTTACAGCGAAGTTTCTTGCCAGGTTTCGCTTTTGAGCTGATCACAGCATACAGTGTACAACACGCCATAGCAGACGGGGTGCCCACCACACAAGACTCATGGTTTCCTGGATACGCCTGGAGTTATCTCAAGTGTCTTAGGTAAGTCTGGTTACCTGGTTACCTGGTTACCTGGTTCCCTGGGTACGCCTGGAGTTACCTCAAGTGTCTTAGGTTAGTCTGGTGGTACAGATCAGGTGTCCACAAACACATCTACATAGAACCATATAATTTATGTTTTGGAACAAAGTACGAGAGTCTCCACTCAGTTGTTCAACGTTTTTATTGAGCTATGTAACGTAATTGTAACGTCTCGTCCATGACAAAGGCGTGGGCCGAAACGTCGACAACTATTTGTTTGAAAAACTGAGTGGAGACTCTCACTTTCTCCCAAAACATCATTTATATGATCGACCCACTCAAAAAAACATAATATTTGTCTGCAGGTGTGATAGTTTTCTGGGTTGGAAGTTCACTGCAGTTGTTGAGGAGACCCAGCCACGAATCTTTTACGGAATTCAGCGGAAAGTTGTCAGGGTGCTCAGACACAGGTTAGATTTATTGTTGGCCTTAAGAAAATTACATATTAAATAATTAAAATACAAATTATGTTTAAAATTAAATATTTAAACTAATACATTCATAATTGACAGATATTTATAAATTTGAAATGCAGTAAAAAGTTGTAGGGTCTACTAAAAAAGCAGGATTTTTTTACTAGTAAAAATATAAAAACTCCGTCAATATTGCAGCGAAGTCGAACCTGAACCAGAAGAAGATATTACTGACATTAATTTCGGCAGAGATCGAATAATTTATGACGCGGACGGAAACTACCCCAGATACATATAAATCATCTGATAACTCTCAAATACTTTTCATCATCATCTGAATATTACTGTCTCCTGGTGAGACGAATATATCAAATAATTATTATCTGGGTTTACCAATCAGGGGAGATTTTATCACCGAGAAGTGAGAACAGATATTTGGTTTGTCTCTAAGTTTTACCAACAAAAAACATGCAGAAACAATTCTCAGCAGGACGATGAATCAATAAGAATCAAACTTTACATTCAATTTACATTTAAACTTGTAATTGTTCAGGGATCGAGATTCAAGTCTAAATTAACAGCATTTCAGTTTTATTTTATAGGATTTGCAGAGGGCAGGTTATTTATTTTATTTAATATTTTAAACACTTTTATTTTGTCAACTAAAGTTATATGCGCAGATATGTTGCTTATACCTTCGATATCTTGGACTTTGGTCAATTTTAAAATAACAAGAAGGTAATTTGATCGCGTCACGTACTCAATTAATCCTAATAATCTTATACAAATTTATAAATCGCAACATCAAACTCTTCTTCGATCAATATCATTAAATATCATAACTTCTTGTACAGCATGTCTCATTATATTGCTCTCTTATTGGGTGATATTATAGCACGATAATCAAGTTAGTCAGCATTTTGGTAATGCAAATTAAACGGTTCTTTATCTTATTGTTGTTACTTGTAATCAATTAAAGCTCCTTCATTATCGTTTGTGAGATCGTGCATACTGTCGAGATATTTGTTTTTCTTCTATATGGGTGCTTTTCGTTTCTAAGGAAATTAAAACGTTCGATTGTTTTTAACACTTCATCTAACATAGGTTTAGATAATTTGAAGATGTACGAATTGTAAACATTATTGTAAAGTTTTCTCGTGATCGTTCAAAGTTAACTGTTTAATTATGCATGTGTGTTTTTTGTTAAAGGCCCCATAGCATCCAGACAAAACTATATGTTTATATGTCTGCAAGATTATTCCCTGCACAGACAGGGGCTGACTAGATTACCAAAATTTCAATAAAATTGAAACGCAGCAGCAACCATTGTACGCTCAAATCGTGATAAAAAGTATCAAACTGAGGGAAATGATCACAGATAAGACTAACGTATCCGTATGATGATATATTTTTACGGTAGAGATTTTAGTTGGACGCTATTTTTAGCTGGAGGCAATGGGGCCCTTAACCAAATGTTTTATTTCAACGCTTAACCCGTAAATTCCGCATTTTCAATGAATTCCATCAAGTATTTTTCATTTCGCCTAGAAAACCATCTTCGACAAACAAAAATCTACATAAACTTTTCATCGCTAAGATTATATCCCCCAGTTTTGACCATCTCTCCACCCGGAAACCATGTCTGAGGACGAGTCAAGACCTGAACATGAACTGGAAGGAGAGGAAGACGCGTTTGGGGAACTGGTGCAGAATTACAACAGGCCCCGCGGAAGGGGCGGAGCCGATTTGATGCAGATGGGACTAGCTCGACGGTACTCACAGATCCCAAGTAAGTGATTTGGTTGTGATTGTATTATTGTTGTTTATTCTAGAAGATTATTATGCCCAGTAAGTAATTACCTGCCCCTGGTACGCCACTGATCCCTATGCGCGGCGCTCTTTTCAAGCTTCTTGCACGATCCTCTTTCCGTGAGACAGTTGAGCAATGGACTAGGTAAAATAAATAACAATAAAATGGTATTTAAAGAAATAACAAGATGTGTTTATGGTTGTTCTCCTCAGATATCACGACTCCTAACAGTGTAAACACTAATTAAGGCCCCTTCCAGCCATTGCCACTGCGAATTTAACCTAAAACCTGCCCAGTTAATAGCGAAGACTGCGAAATTACCACTCCTGCCTAGTAATCTAATTTACCCTGTCCAGATCAGCAGTATATTACACTAAATCCGCAGGTTTTCTCTTAATTTTTTATGTCAAAACCTGCCTAATTAACTAGTGATCCTGCATCAACAGCGCAGGTATTTGTTATTTGGCAGGTTTTCTATTAACTTGGCAGGATTTGCTATAAAATTATCAATCCTTTCCGGATGGATTACGGCAGTGATAAAGTTAAATCGGCAGGTTTTCCATTAACTTGGCAGGATTTTTTATAAAATTATCAATCCTTGCCGGATAGATTACGGCAGTGATGAAGTTAAATCGGCAGGTTTTCCATTTACTTTGCAGGATTTGTTATAAAATTATCAATCCATGCCAAATAGATTATAATGCTATAATCTTATTATGGCAGCGTTAAATTTATAAATTGGCAGGTTTCTTTTATCTTTCTTTTAAGTTCTTAAGTTATTTGGAATTTTGCTTATTTGGCACCAAAACTAAAAGTCAATAAAACCGAGTTGATTAGCGCAGTCAAGAAATTGGCCGGAGTTGATAAATAGCTGACAACCATGGCACTGAATCTCCAAATGAGAGGTATAGTACGCTATATACTTATATAGTACGGTACCGCAACAATTGACCCCCCCCCCCCCCCCCCTCCGACAAATGACCCCCTGATGCAATCTACCCCCGACAATTGACCCCCCATGTAATTACACTGGGGTCAATTCAGGGTTAGGGTAAGGGTTAGGGTCAGGGTTAGGGTCAGGGTTAGGGTCAGGGTTAGGGTCAGGGTTAGGGTCAGGGTCAGGGTTAGGGTCAGGGTTAGGGTCAGGGTTAGGGTTAGCGTTAGGGTTAGGGTTAGGGTCAGGGTAAGGGTTAGGGTCAGGGTTAGGGTTACTGGGTAACACGACTCCTGTCAGCGACATCTGTCCGACAGCGACATCTGTCCGACTCAGGGTACCAGAAAAACGACATTTGTCCGAAATTGTGATCTGATTTCAATACAACACATTTCCAATTAGAGACGTGATCTGAACTGTTAATTTGAATACGTAACATTGCCAATTTGAGATATGATCTGAGCCATAGTGTACTACTAGTTTATTTTCGACCTAGGCAGGCAGGCATGAAGCAACTGCGTTGTGAATGGCGAGCTCGTAGTCCATGAGAATGTATTGTGGTTGGTAGCCCCAAGGCCTCAGAAGCCCAGGTGTCTATCTCCTCGAACATGTCGTCGATTTTCCAGGAATGAGTCCTTAGAAGAGGGGGAGGTGCCAGCCGTCAGGGAAGAGTCCGTGGACTGTGAAGAGCTGATGGAAGAGATTAGGTGCGGATTTGAAGGTACCGTTGGGCGTTGACTACGCAATGCTCCGCGTCCACCATATGATCTGCGTTCTTAGGAGTCCCCCAAAGGAATGATCGACGAGTCTGTTCGTCCCATCCAGAGTCCCAGAGCATCATTGGACTGTTGTCGGTAGAGAGGATTTAGTTTGCAGGAATGGATAGCGTTTCCAGATCTCTCGGGTCTGTTTGCTGCAGATCTGGGTCTGTTTACTGAAGATTGGTTGCCATTGTGGATTGCGATAACTGATCTCCATACGGCTGCTATCCTATATGTACTCATGTAGGCTGTGTCCTGTGATGTGATCGACAGCTTGTTAGTGTACGGCTAGCACAATCCTGTCCTTAAATAGTCAATCACGTATCGATGGATCAGATCTCAATGGATCAAATCAGCATTCGAACAATGGGAGCAACGTCACGAAATTACCCGTGAGTTTGTGAAATACGAATGTGAACCGAAATTACAATATGATCCGAAATTCGGACAGATGTCGCCAAAAACGACTCCTGTCCGACAGCGAAATCTGTCCGAAATCCCCAATTCGGCTGTCGGACAGATGTCGCTGTCGGACAGATGTCGCCCAATCGGGTTACTGTTAGGGTAAGTATAATAAATATATTTGTTTGGTCAATTGTCGGGGGGGGGGGGGGGGGGGGGTCAATTTTCAAGTATTATATCACTTGCACCGTTTAGCTCCACGTGGTTTCTTAAGCGTAAATACTTAACTGTCCTGTCAAGATAAAGTAAATCACTATCACCTCTCATTCTTAATAAGTTAGTAAGCAAGCATCTGATCATTTTAAAACAGTCGCCTCCCAATTTAGCAAGTTCTTACATCTATATTACAGTCTACACCCTTCAATAATGAGATAATATGTTTGGCCGGTAGAGGGTCCGCAGTAGTCCCATTACAGCATTACCTGGCCTCATTACCTTAGCATTGCTGTACAGTGTACAACTACTATAAGAGTATAAGATATACATCCTTCACCAAAACTGGTTTGTCCGCTTTCTATTACTAATTTTCCGCTGAAAGTGCCACATCAGTGATCAATTAATATTGGTAAATAGCAATAATTTGAGTTATAGGTTGACCTCCCACTTAGAGCATATGTGGGAGGTCAACCTATAAATTATAGTACGAGCTATTTCCAATTCGTGAATACGAATTTCGATTAAGGTCCAACTTATTAAGTGTCACTTTAACGTGTGACAAATTTCCGATCAAATATCTCATAATCTGAAAATAACTGCATATTTAGAACTATTATATTAATTGTAATTGAAGATTCTTTCAGAATCACTTCATTCACTAAATCTTACAATGTGAACAATGAACAGGTAGAGGCACTGCAACTGAAAAAGTGCTGTCCTCACTACTTAAGAACATAGCAATCTAATCTAAAAATGGCAACCTAAGAACTGAAGTTAAGCAAACAGTTATTTTCCAATAATCGGTTTTTATACATGCTTCATATCGCGGTCATCTGAGAAGCTAGAACTCTCATTCTTTCAGGGCAAACGTAATTCGAATGGCCAAACACAATTCAATAACATTTAGCTTGATCCGATTATCCAAACTATCAAAAAAATGTGAAAATGAACCTCCATTTGAAAAAAATGAACGCGAATATTTTTCGAGTTGACAAATTCCTCGAACCAGTGGTGGTACTAAGTCATACCAGAAGGAAGTATTTCAATTGGGCACTCAGTGACTGAGCTATTAAGGCCAACGTTTGCACACTGACTTTTGGCCCACCCTGTACTTTTATACTCAAACTTATCATAGACCCCGTGTTGGTAACAGTGGATAATATGCAGTGGCGAAACGTACCTAAGAGGCCGCAGCTGCACCCCCCCCATCCCCTTCCGCATAGCAGGGGTTGCCGGAGTGTCGGGCGGTCGTTTCGCCACTGACTAGTAGTAGTGACTGCATGTATAAAAGTATAAACTATAGAGCCATGTAGGCATGTAGCATTCTGTACTTCTGTAGCTTTTCACAAACCAAGTCTCAGTCCTACACCCTACCTAGTAATAAGGTTATACGATCATTACAGTATTCCACATTGTACACTCAAATTATCCAAAACCCCTGCCAATATAGGTTTAATCACGCCACAAGTTGATTCAAATTATCTCAACTTACGCAAGATTTGCGTTAAATCTGCAGCATTCGACTTTATATTTAACGGAAAACCTGCCAAAATAGAGCAAACCTGCCGAGAGTAGGTGAAAGGTGAGGCAGGTTTTGTGTTAATTTTGCAGGCTTTTCTATAAATCAACAACTCGATTAAATAATTACGTGAGATAAATCTCTGCACGAATACGATAAATAGGCAGGTTTTCGGTTAATTTTGCAGGAATCATTTTAAGACTTCAAATTGATTATCAGTCTTAATGTAAAACCTGCCAAATTAGGTGGCAGGTGGCAATGGCTGGAAGGGGCCTTAATTATAATGAGGGAGATAGGGTAACCTGGGTAACCTGTTAACCTGGGTAACCTGGGTAATCTGGGTAATCTGGGTAACCTGGGTAACCTGGTAACCTGGGTAACAAGATGTATTTATAGTTGTTCTCATCAGATATTCCGACTCCGAACAGCGTATACACTAATTATAATGAAGGAGATAGAGTGAGTCTACTGCTCATCCCTACTAACATCATCGTTATTCCAGGTAACACACTTCCAATTATATCATTAATTAGAATTTTAATAGCAACTCCAATTAATTCTTGCTGAACAATTCAATTTTGAGGGGAAATTTGAATCGGAGTGATAAGCTGATCTCTTCGATAAAACAATAATTCGCATCAAGCGAAATATTCTTCACTCAAACCAGCACCTTATAAACTTACACGAGATTTATCCCAGGATTAATGTTCCCGCTGAGGTTTAGAGACGACCAACACACAGGATTACAGTTCGCTCTGCTCAAAAACCTACTTGATAGTGACGATCCTAATGTGTTTGGGGCCGTGCACGTGCCTAACGAAGAGTGAGTCATAAAAATGAAAAAGAAATGCTGTCTTAGAATAGGCTGCGGAATATGGTCGCAAGCTTAATTCTTCTTCTTAAAGTCTGTTTAAGGTAACATTGGTTGACAGTCTGCTCATAATCAAGCGAGCTTTCCCGAACTGATACTTTCTGTCAGAGTCGGCCGTGTACTAATCGGCAGACTTGATCCTGATCATTCACTTGATAATTAACTCCAAGCTAACTAACCAATTTTGTGCAGTGAAAGATTAGAGGATACCTGGTGCGACTGCGGTGTTACAGTTCAGATACTTGAGGTAACAGAAGAGAATCAGAGCAAACTGGAACTAAAGTGCATGGGTACTATACTACCTCATTAATATATAATTGATTATCTAATTATCTTCACGCAATGTTTACACTTTACACGTAAACATGGATTATATATATCTTTACAGTGCCTTATCAAACATCAAATGATAATTATAGCCTCTCTTGGCCTGAATAATAGAGAATTTGGAAACTTCCATTCTGTTTTTTCACACAGATACACTTAATAAATCTAGTATACAGGGTGAGTTGAAAATAGTATATATATGTATATATATATATATATATATATCCATAGACACAGTGTTTCGTCCTATTAGGACTCATCAGTATGGCTCAAATCATCAAGGTTGGTTTTGCCGATGGCGGGTATCGATCCAGCAACCTTGCGATTACTGGCTCGACGCCGCACCACTGGGCCACCAGGGCCTTAATAATGAGGGAATTACATAGGTACCAGAGTGCTCTACAAACATATATATATATATTTATATAAACTATACTATAATATATATGTACAGGTAGACAGAGATATGAGGTGATATCAGAAGAGTTAACTTCAAGACATATGAGAGCTACAGATACACGAGGACCAGAAACAACCTCGCCTTCTTGATCCTGGTATAGACTAATACTTTAATAGACTGCGCAGTTTGAGAAATCGAGGAGGGTTAACTCTCCGTTATTTTATTCCGATCAAACATAAACCCTAAACTTATCTTTATTTTAAGAGCATTTATTTATTAAATACAAACTCTCAGAAATCTCTTAGAACTTGATCTCTCACAAACAAATGTCCGGTTTATTACACCACGTCCCACAGCTGGTAAAGTAAAAGATACGTTCCTGCGAGGACCCCTCCCAGTGTGGCAGCACCGACTCAGGGACGTCTTCACTCTGGAGAAACTGATTAAGAACGAGATAACAACGAGTTGCCCTGGTATTAATGCGGACTCTGCCCCAACTGAGCCCATCATGTTCTCTTATTGGATAATCAGTACTATGCCCTTCAAGTTCAAACAAAGGTTAGATATTGTTAATTATAATGATGAATGTTGAATTGAAGAACATTCACCGGTAATAGGACTTCAAGAGTCTATTGTCAACCCATTCAAGGGGAGATGTTATCTCTTATCTCTATCATAGGGCCCGCTGTTAGGCCCTTAAATAGAGTTATGATGGTCAGTAAATGAGGATGTAGCACTGGTATAAATCATAAATTCCTGCGAAACTAACAATTACCATCTACACAGAAACAAGATGCTGAGAGAGGATAACCTGATTGTGAGACTCCGATCTCAACTGAACTACTTGCGACTTCTCAACCACTTTGATTACTGTTGTCTCGAGTGTGGACCCAACCATCCAGTTGTCAGCTGCTCTGATCTTATGTCCATGAAGTCTGAAGGTCCTTTTTATCATCTCAAACCGGAGGGTACGTCGTTATGATAACAACCATTTAATTAAGTTATGTTGAGATTAGTTAGTTATTAATTTATGTTAAGATTAGTTAGTTATTATGTAACTTTTAGGAGATTAGTTGTTAACTTTAGTTTCCTTTAAATATTTCTGTTACAGTGTGTCACATCTTAACCATTGCAGTATAATTAACGCATATAAATTTAGATTTTTTTCCCTACTCTTGCCGAAGGCAAAAAGATCGTAGGGAATAAGTAATCGGGTTTAGATATATGAGGTGGCCCGATGGACCTGCGGTGACGACAAAAGTCTGCTCCTTCGCAATATAGACCACTCCCCTATTTTATCTTAAACTTTTCGAACAATACATAATTATACAGAATTGAATGCTTCTAAATAAACCCAGTTATAAAAGGAAAAAACCGATATAGCCCTAATTTTCACTATCCCAGAATATCGAAACCCAAATTATGTATTGAAAGAGGGGTAACCAAAACACGGTAGTGTGCAGTAAGAAATACCACACCCGCAATAACATTGGGCCCTAGCAACAATTAATTAATCAATGAATCAAAACATATAATATTGTACTTATAGAAAATATATCACTCTGAAGGCTCCTTCTCCGAGCTAATGACTCTTAAGTTCCTGATTACGTGAACTTTGTCCGGCTCTGCTGTCCTTTTATTCAAGGTTGTTAAATACGTATTAGGAGGGAATACGTATTGGAATACGAATACGTATTAATGCTCGAAAATTGACGTATTACGAAAAGGTGTGGCTTGAAGTTGAAATTGATCACGGACGGTCTTTAAATTCTGAACATCAAAATCATTAAATATGTATTAATATGTAATTGATAATTTCGCAAAAAATGTTAGCTTATCGGATTATCCATGAAATTTGATTACAAATTTAAGTTATCATGTATAACTGCACTCCTTTAATGCATGATCAATGATGAGGGTGGCGCGCAGCTGTAATGTTTAATTTTGACAAATCAGCGTATTACGGCGTATTATGGCGTATTCGTGGACGTATTTAACAATCCATAGAAATTACCGTATTACGGCGTATTACGACGTATTCTTTATTAGAACCGAATACGTCGTATTATTTCACGAAAATTTGACGTATTTAACAACCTTGCTTTTATTGAGTAGCTGTACGACAACTTTCTTGTAGGCTATTCTGTCTGCAGCTGATCTATCAGGAGTTATGTAAACAGAAGTAAAATAATTAAGTGTATAGGAAACGTCTGTTATGCTGCGCGCGACGCTAGCCATGTGTTAATTAATTACAGTGAAATTCCTCCTTCGCAAAGTTATTTTCCGCAATTTTCTGGATGTCACATCTTAACCATTGCAGTATAATTAACGCATATAAATTTAGATTTTTTATTTACAGTCCTTCAATTATTAGCAAATTAACAATATTAATTTATAAATATCAGGAGGATAGAACAACTCAAATGTATATTTCAACTTTTAGATAGCTCCCGATTTCACAGCCACTACCTCCAGGAATGTTCGACGAGACAGTACTGACCACCAACGTAAACACTGATCATGTGTACTGGTACGGTACCGCTACCAGGAAGAGTGACCTTACTGGATATGGTAGAACACTGCTCGGTTGTAAAACGTAGGTAACCTTGGTAACCTTGGTAACCTGGGTAACCTGGGTAACCTCTGGTAACCTGGGTAACCTGGTAACCTGAGTAACCTGGGTAACCTGAGTAACCTGAGTAACCTGGGTAACCTGAGTAACCTGAGTAACATGGGTAACCTTACCTTTGATGTGATCGGATATTTTATCTTGCATAACAATTTGACTTCATTTTAATATCGCTACAATTGTTTTATTTTGCAGGTGTTTGAGAGATCTAGGCTGGAAATTTGCTGCATTTGACGTGACCACTCAACCACAAATGTTCTATGGTTTGAAAAGGAAACTCTTGCTCATACAAGCCAGCAAAGATTACGAATCAAGCTCAGACTCTGAATGAGACACAGAGGCACCACGTGGTACCTCACATTACACTACACAGAGTGATTTACTATTCTAGAAAACACTCTCTTAACTCAAATAATTGGCGGATACAGCCTACAGGGACTATTATATTGTAGAGCTGACACTGTCAACTGTTGATCGAACCAAACTTGATGATAACTAAGTTGTTGCTGAGGACCCGTGACCTTTGAATATTTTGTGATATTTTATTATATTTAAGGTTTGAAAATTCAATTACTGAGTCCAATCAGTTTATTTACCGGGAAAATGCATTATGAATTATCTAACTGTATTCAGTAATTTTATTAAATTTGTACCCGACTTCGGGCACTAAAAATGAAAACCCTGAATACTTTGGCCTAAAATTCTGTCAAATATCATGTTTGAAAATGAAACAGAAATGGAATAATTTATAATACCACTTTCCGTTCTGTAATAAAGTCTCTAGAAAGTACCTCAATTGTACCTTGACCAAAATTTCACAGTTTTGACTAAATTTTTCTCCAGTGACCAATTAAGCAGTGAACAATAGATGGCATTTGACACAACTGAGGTGCTGGAAGTTTGATTTCGGTCGGAGGAAGCCCACAGCAGAAAGCTTAACAAAACGAAAAGTTGTATTTTCAAAATTCTGTCCCATTTTCAAATGTGAAATTTTCTGAACACAAATTTGACAGATCGGATGAACTTTTTGCCCAGAAACCAATTAGTCAGCTAATTGATGATGATATGAAACCAAACTGAGGTACTGGGAGTCAAAATCCCGAATAAAATTGCAAAATCATATTGTCCCAATCTCTGTCCCATTTTCAGTTTTTGAAGATGAAATTTCCAGGACCGAAATTTTACAGTTTTTACTGATTTTTTCACCCGCAACCAATAAGTAAGTCAACTATAGGTGCCATATGACACGACTGAGGTGCTGGAAGTTTGATTTCGGTCGGAGGAAGCCCACAGCAGAAAGCTCAACAAAACGAAAAGCTGTATTTTCAAAATTCTGTCCCATTTTCAAATGTGAAATTTTCTGAACACAAATTTGACAGATTGGATGAAATTTTTGCCCAGAAACAAATTAGCAGCTAATTGATCATGGTATGAAACCAAATTGAGGTACTGGGAGTCAAAATCCCGAATAAAACTGCAAAATCATATTGTCCCAATCTCTGTCCCATTTTCAGTTTTTGAAGATGAAATTTCCAGGACCAAAATTTTACAGTTTTTACTGATTTTGTCACCCGCAACCAATTAGTAAGTCAACTATAGGTGCCATATGACACGATTGAGGTGCTGGAAGTTTGATTTCGGTCGGAGGAAGCCCACAGCAGAAAGCTTAACAAAACGAAAAGTTGAATTTTCAAGATTCTGTCCCATTTTCAAATGTGAAATTTTCTGAACACAAATTTGACAGATTGGATGAAATTTTTGCCCAGAAACAAATTAGCAGCTAATTGATCATGGTATGAAACCAAATTGAGGTACTGGGAGTCAAAATCACGAATAAAACTGCAAAATCATATTGTCCCAATCTCTGTCCCATTTTCAGTTTTTGAAGATGAAATTTCCAGGACCGAAATTTTACAGTTTTTACTGATTTTGTCACCCGCAATCGATTAGTAAGTCAACTATAGGTGCCATATGACACGATTGACGTGCTGGAAGTTTGATTTCGGTCGGAGGAAGCCCACAGCAGAAAGCTTAACAAAACGAAAAGTTGTATTTTCAAAATTCTGTCCCATTTTCAAATTTGAAATTTTCTGAACACAAATTTGACAGATTGGATGAACTTTTTGTCCAGAAACCAATAAGCAGCTAATTGATGATGGTATGAAACCAAATTGAGGTACTGGGAGTCAAAATCCTGAATAAAACTGCAAAATCATATTGTCCCAATCTCTGTCCCATTTTCAGTTTTTGAAGATGAAATTTCCAGGACCGAAATTTTACAGTTTTTACTGATTTTGTCACCCGCAACCAATTAATAAGTCAACTATAGGTGCCATATGACACGATTGAGGTGCTGGAAGTTTGATTTCGGTCGGAGGAAGCCCACAGCAGAAAGCTTAACAAAACGAAAAGTTGTATTTTCAAAATTCTGTCCCATTTTCAAATTTGAAATTTTCTGAATACAAATTTGACAGATTGGATGAAATTTTTGCCCAGAAAAAAATTAGCAGCTAATTGATCATGGTATGAAACCAAATTGAGGTACTGGGAGTCAAAATCCCGAATAAAACTGCAAAATCATATTGTCCCAATCTCTGTCCCATTTTCATTTTTTGAAGATGAAATTTCCAGGACCGAAATTTTACAGTTTTTACTGATTTTGTCACCCGCAACCAATTAGTAAGTCAACTATAGGTGCCATATGACACGATTGACGTGCTGGAAGTTTGATTTCGGTTGGAGGAAGCCCACAGCAGAAAGCTTAACAAAACGAAAAGTTGTATTTTCAAAATTCTGTCCCATTTTCAAATTTGAAATTTTCTGAACACAAATTTGACAGATTGGATGAACTTTTTGCCCAGAAACAAATTAGCAGCTAGTTGATGATGGTATGAAACCAAATTGAGGTACTGGGAGTCAAAATCCCGAATAAAATTGCAAAATCATATTGTCCCAATCTCTGTCCCATTTTCAGTTTTTGAAGATGAAATTTCCATGACCGAAATTTTACAGTTTTTACTGATTTTATCACCTGCAACCAATTAGTAAGTCAACTATAGGTGCCATATGACACGATTGAGGTGCTGGAAGTTTGATTTCGGTCGGAGGAAGCCCACAGCAGAAAGCTTAACAAAACGAAAAGTTGTATTTTCAAAATTCTGTCCCATTTTCAAATTTGAAATTTTCTGAACACAAATTTGACAGATTGGATGAAATTTTTGCCCAGAAACAAATTAGCAGCTAATTGATCATGGTATGAAACCAAATTGAGGTACTGGGAGTCAAAATCCCGAATAAAACTGCAAAATCATACTGTCCCAATCTCTGTCCCATTTTCATTTTTTGAAGATGAAATTTCCAGGACCGAAATTTTACAGTTTTTACTGATTTTGTCACCCGCAACCAATTAATAAGTCAACTATAGGTGCCATATAACACGATTAAGGTGCTGGAAGTTCGATTCCGGTCGGAGGAAGCCCACAGCAAAAAGCTTAACAAAACGAAAAGTTAAATTTTCAAGATTCTGTCCCATTTTCAAATGTGAAATTTTCTGAACACAAATTTGACAGATTGGATGAAATTTTTGCCCAGAAACAAATTAGCAGCTAATTGATCATGGTATGAAACCGAATTGACTAATTGAGGTACTGGGAGTCAAAATCCCGAATAAAACTGCAAAATCATATTGTCCCAATCTCTGTCCCATTTTCATTTTTTCAAGATGAAATTTCCAGGACCGAAATTTTACAGTTTTTACTGATTTTGTCACCCGCAACCAATTAGTAAGTCAACTATAGGTGCCATATGACACGATTGACGTGCTGGAAGTTTGATTTCGGTCGGAGGAAGCCCACAGCAGAAAGCTTAACAAAACGAAAAGTTGTATTTTCAAAATTCTGTCCCATTTTCAAATTTGAAATTTTCTGAACACAAATTTGACAGATTGGATGAACTTTTTGCCCAGAAACAAATTAGCAGCTAGTTGATGATGATATGAAACCAAACTGAGGTACTGGGAGTCAAAATCCCGAATAAAATTGCAAAATCATATTGTCCCAATCTCTGTCCCATTTTCAGTTTTTGAAGATGAAATTTACATGACCGAAATTTTACAGTTTTTACTGATTTTATCACCCGCAACCAATTAGTAAGTCAACTATAGGTGCCATATGACACGATTAAGGTGCTGGAAGTTTGATTTCGGTCGGAGGAAGCCCACAGCAGAAAGCTTAACAAAACGAAAAGTTGTATTTTCAAAATTCTGTCCCATTTTCAAATTTGAAATTTTCTGAACACAAATTTGACAGATTGGATGAAATTTTTGCCCAGAAACAAATTAGCAGCTAATTGATCATGGTATGAAACCAAATTGAGGTACTGGGAGTCAAAATCCCGAATAAAACTGCAAAATCATACTGTCCCAATCTCTGTCCCATTTTCATTTTTTGAAGATGAAATTTCCAGGACCGAAATTTTACAGTTTTTACTGATTTTGTCACCCGCAACCAATTAGCAAGTCAACTATAGCTGCCATATAACACGATTAAGGTGCTGGAAGTTCGATTTCGGTCGGAGGAAGCCCACAGCAAAAAGCTTAACAAAACGAAAAGTTAAATTTTCAAGATCCCATTTTCAAATGTGAAATTTTCTGAACACAAATTTGACAGATTGGATGAAATTTTTGCCCAGAAACAAATTAGCAGCTAATTGATCATGGTATGAAACCGAATTGACTAATTGAGGTACTGGGAGTCAAAATCCCGAATAAAACTGCAAAATCATATTGTCCCAATCTCTGTCCCATTTTCATTTTTTCAAGATGAAATTTCCAGGACCGAAATTTTACAGTTTTTACTGATTTTGTCACCCGCAACCAATTAGTAAGTCAACTATAGGTGCCATATGACACGATTGACGTGCTGGAAGTTTGATTTCGGTCGGAGGAAGCCCACAGCAGAAAGCTTAACAAAACGAAAAGTTGTATTTTCAAAATTCTGTCCCATTTTCAAATTTGAAATTTTCTGAACACAAATTTGACAGATTGGATGAAATTTTTGCCCAGAAACAAATTAGCAGCTAATTGATCATGGTATGAAACCAAATTGAGGTACTGGGAGTCAAAATCCCGAATAAAACTGCAAAATCATACTGTCCCAATCTCTGTCCCATTTTCATTTTTTGAAGATGAAATTTCCAGGACCGAAATTTTACAGTTTTTACTGATTTTGTCACCCGCAACCAATTAGCAAGTCAACTATAGCTGCCATATAACACGATTAAGGTGCTGGAAGTTCGATTTCGGTCGGAGGAAGCCCACAGCAAAAAGCTTAACAAAACGAAAAGTTAAATTTTCAAGATCCCATTTTCAAATGTGAAATTTTCTGAACACAAATTTGACAGATTGGATGAAATTTTTGCCCAGAAACAAATTAGCAGCTAATTGATCATGGTATGAAACCGAATTGACTAATTGAGGTACTGGGAGTCAAAATCCCGAATAAAACTGCAAAATCATATTGTCCCAATCTCTGTCCCATTTTCATTTTTTCAAGATGAAATTTCCAGGACCGAAATTTTACAGTTTTTACTGATTTTGTCACCCGCAACCAATTAGTAAGTCAACTATAGGTGCCATATGACACGATTGACGTGCTGGAAG